GGCATTCTTATTCAAACTACCACACTTAAGTCGCTTCACACTGGGGCATCAACTGACTCAATCCTTTGACTCTGTGAGCCAAATTATAATCTTTTCTGCTGGGAGTTGTGCTCTCATCTTTTTTGGAGACAGTCTCTCACTGGCTTGGATTTCACCAAGCAAAGTAGTCTGGCTGGCTATGGAGGCCAGGGACCTGCTTGTCTCCTCAGGACTGGCATTACAAGGACCAGCACTCTGCCCAGTTTATATGTGGGTTCTGGAGTTGGATCACAGGTCCTTGTGTTAGATTAAACTCTTTTACTGACAGTGTCACCTCAGCCTTCCATGTCACTGGATATCATGTTGATTTTAAGAATGAAACTTCTTGGGTAGGATCATTTATTTGGACCATGCAAGTACAGTGGGCACATCAGTAAGGATTGCATGCCATACTGGTGGGGTTAGTGTTTTTACACATCCTGTTGAAATAAATAGTTGTGGTGCTAGCAGGATAAAGATGGATTATGTGATGTCTACCCGATCTAAAAGGCCAAGGTTATTGATAACGCCATATTATTGATGAGTTTATTCTCTGTCAGTTTCTAATTCTTTAGACTTCTGATATACATACACAGCCTTGTGTAAAACGCCTGACCTCATTCCATTGTGGACTGTGCTGGTTATCTCTGGCTGGACCTCTTGCCTTGGTCTAAGGTGTCATGTGTTGCCACACCAGCCCGACTCAAGGAGTTCTTTTCATATTTTCCACATCTATTCTCACTTTCAGCTTGTCTGCATCTTTCCACCCTCACCATAACAACAAAATAACAGGAACCAGTAAACACTGCTTACTGATAACACTCAATATTAACAGCCTCAATTCCCTAACTCAAAGACATGGACTAACAGGTTGGATTAGAAAACAAGGTTTGTCTTTCTGCTGCATCCAAGCAACATACCTCACCATCAAGAACAAAAGACTAAGATATCACCTTCAGGTAAAAAGAATGATTATGGCTGTGCTTCAGCTTTTGTGAATGGATCATCTGTACATTGAATTAATATATTTCGGTTTGAATGCCTTTATGACATATCCAACTCTGGTTATTTTTTAAGCCTCTGCAATTAATATCCACTTCTTAGTGGACAAATGGCTGACAGCATCCAGGCATACGACACCTGAGGGATTGGTAAAGGAAGCTGGGTGAGTGACCCTGAATGAGACATTTAACCTGAGGCTAACACTGACCTATGTACACATTGATGCCCCAGTCACCGCTGGGACTGGAAATACACATTAGGAAGGGTGAAAATGAGGGGAAGGCTTGGAGCAGAGGTGACAGACTGTGCAGTTCTGCCCATGGCCTTGCACACAGCACAAGCTAGAGTGGCCTATATTCCACACGTCACCTATTCTGGAGTACCTTGGATCTGGCCTGGTGACTGGCACATAATAGTACCGAAATCTAGAGATTTCCTGCTCCTGTTTGTTTAGGTTCCGTGTTTTGATTGTGCTCTCTTCATTTTATTTATCTTTTAAGTTCAGTAGAAGAGTTTGGCCCAGGTAACTATTCGCTTTACACAGCCAATGATCTCTGGAGCCGGGGGTGACTTTCACAGAGAGATCTGGAAATGACATGCCCAGAACTCTTTTTTTTTTTTAAATATGAATTCTCAACATGCATAAGATAGCATAGAATCATGGAATACCATGTTTCACATAGATCTGAAACACATCAATTGTGTTTTAATTATCCTGTCTACCCCATACAGACACTTGTACTGTCAGAGTATTATAATGCTAATCTTATATGGTAGGTCTTGTTTTATATATATTATGATTTCCTGATAGGAAAAACAGCATGCAATAATCATTGCAGCATAGTTATATCTAGTAATTTTAATAATTATTTTAGGGTCTTTTGGAAGCTGTTCTGTGCTGTTTCCTTAGCTAATTGTAAACAGTAGGGAAATTAAATTTACCTTACAATCATATTTCACTGGCTTCTAAAATTTTGAACTGTCATCAGGGTTTTCTACTCCTGTGGGCAGTGCCCAGATGGGCCCATGTGCTATTTGTACTGGAGGACTTATGACTTCCTCTCTTCTGGGACCAAACACGTTTGATGAACACTCTGTACCGGACCCTGCTATAATGACTTACATCATAGGTTTTCCTGGGCAGAGTTGTGAGAAGTTTGGCAGTAAAGTTTGGTATTATTCTGAGTTTGAAATGGCCCTCATGGGCTTACATAGTTGACTATCTTGTCCCCAGCTGGGTGCTGTTTGGGGACTCTGCTGGACCTGGCTGTAAGAGTGGGTCACTGGAGGAGATAGTCTGGCCCTGCTTCTGGTCCCGTTGATCTACCAAGAAGGAAGGTGTGGTGTCACAATGTCCCCTCCCACTGAGCTTCCCACAGTGCCTTCCCTGCTACAGGGGACTGTACCCCGACACCCTGAAATGAAACAGACCTTTCTTCCTTTAATTTGCTTCTGTCGGGGATTTGGTCACGCTCTGGGCTTTGTTAAGAATTCACAAAATTCCTGGATGGCAGTGGCACATGCCTTTCATCCCAGCAATTGGGAGGCAGAGGCAGGCGGATCTCTGTGAGTTCAAGGCCAGCCTGGTCTATAGAACGAGTTCAAGAACAGCTAGGGCTACACACAAAGAAACCCTGTCTTGAAAAACAAACAAACAAACAAAAAGAATTTACAAAATTTATTTGACCTCAGGACTTGTTTTTATTAATATTTGTTATCCAAAATACATTTTGGGGAAGATTGTCCTAGCAGGGAAATGCTTCCTCAAAATAGCAAAATACAAATGTTTAACTTCATTTTTACTCTCAATTAATTAGATAATTTTTGTCTAAATTACATTTATAATCAGGTAACTTGTGGTTTTGTTTTCCTGAATTCTAAGTAATATAATGTAGTATAGTAGGTTGTACTTTGTAGGTCTCACTGCATGAGCAAGCCATGTGTATGTTGGGCTTCTACAGATATTTATAAAATAAGAAAGGCTAAACAGAAAGTCCTTCAAAAGGAAAGACAATACATTGGAAAAAAGGAAAGATAAGGTAGAAATTAGAGACGAGGAAGCCAGGGAGACAGCTCCACAGGCAGCAGTGGACTGGACTGCCCCTTATTTGCGAAAAATTGGCCAAACATAACTTTAAAAACATTTAAGCAGTTGCACAGACGTCTTACATATGTCCTCATTTCCAGGTAGTCTTGAGATACATTTAGTTTTATTAACAACAAAAACAAAAAATCACCACAATTTTGTTGTAACTAACACATAAATAAAAACACCGCACAGCTGGTTTAAGAAAGCCATTCAAATGCTTTCCCAGGCCCAAGCTCAGCCTATCTCAGTAAACTCAGTGAGTGGTCAGGATGACCATCCTGAAGCCATGGAGCTCAGTGGACGTCTGTGTGGTAGGAAGGGCATCCTGAAGCCATGGAACTCAGTGGACGTCTGTGTGGTAGGAAGGGCATCCTGAAGCCATGGAGCTCAGTGGACGTCTGTGTGGTAGGAAGGGCATCCTGAAGCCATGGAGCTCAGTGGACGTCTGTGTGGTCAGGATGACCATCCTGAAGCCATGGAGCTCAGTGGACGTCTGTGTGGTCAGGATGACCATCCTGAAGCCATGGAGCTCAGTGGACGTCTGTGTGGTAGGAAGGGCATCCTGAAGCCATGGAACTCAGTGGACGTCTGTGTGGTAGGAAGGGCATCCTGAAGCCATGGAGCTCAGTGGACGTCTGTGTGGTCAGGATGACCATCCTGAAGCCATGGAGCTCAGTGGACGTCTGTGTGGTCAGGATGACCATCCTGAAGCCATGGAGCTCAGTGGACGTCTGTGTGGTAGGAAGGGCATCCTGAAGTCATGGAGCTCAGTGGACGTCTGTGTGGTAGGAAGGGCATCCTGAAGTCATGGAGCTCAGTGGACGTCTGTGTGGTAGGAAGGGCATCCTGAAGCCATGGAGCTCAGTGGACGTCTGTGTGGTAGGAAGGGCATCCTGAAGTCATGGAGCTTTGCACAGTCTTACACTTTCCTCATCAGCTGCACTTTTATTCACTATCTACCACAAAGAAAAAAAAGACTATGACAGAATTGAAGCTAGAAGACTTGCATCCATTGCCTGTGTTCTGCCTTTCCTCATCACCCAGCACCTCTTGTTCTTCTCTGTAAATGCCATGCCCAGCTTGCTCCTGTTTGTACATGCGCACAGGTATGCGCTAGGACCAGCATGTGAAGAAGAACATGAGAGTTTTGTTCTATTTTTGAGTGTGGGCCACTGATTTAATATTATACTTTAAAACTCCACCTGTTTTCCTGAAATTTTCATGACTGTTTCTTTACAGTGGAATAATACCCATTTATTTGTTGAGGATAGCTCGGCTGGGTCAGTTTCCTTGCTGTAGTAAACAGAGCAGCAATTTGTGCTTGGGCATGCCAGTCTGTCTGTGGTAGGGTGTAAAGCCTTCTGGGTATATGCCCAGGAGTGGAACAGCCGGAGCACACGGTACCTGTTCAAAACCATGCATGGTGAACAGGGCCACATGGGGCCAGCAAGGGTACTTGATCTCCAGCCTTTCCTCCTCTGTCTTCTATGGGCACAGTGGGGCATGGCATGAGGGCTCTGCATCTGCTCCTTCTAGCTCGGCTCAAGTGATGTCCACTCCGTTCCTTCTATACCTTGCTGCCTGCACACTGATCAGCACCTTGCTAGGCAGGGTGTGTGTGTGTGTGTTATGTTGTGTGTGAGTTTGTGTGTGACATGTGGTGTGTGTGAGTTTGTGTGTGATGTGTGTGAAGTGTGTGGTGTGATGTGTATACACTGTGTATGTTGGTGTGTGTGGTGTGCTATGTGTGTGGTGGGTGTAGCATATGTGTAGTATGACATGTGGTGTATGTGTGGTGTGTGTTTGTGGTGTGTGTGTATGTTCTGTGTATTGTGGGGCTGCCTCTCTGCTCTCTGGTGCCATAAAGATCGTTTTTCTCTGTTACTTACAGTCAAACTACAACTGCAAGCAGAAGAGAGAGGGGTCGTGTCTATCAAGGGCGTGTGTGCCAACCGGTACCTTGCTATGAAGGAGGATGGACGGCTGCTGGCTTCTGTGAGTAGAGTCTCTACGGGGTTTCTTTCCTTTTACTTTGTGCAGTTCTTCAGTAGCATTTACTGAGTCTGTTCTGGCTTTAGGTGTATCACATGACCTTCATATTCCTCTAGGTAACAGCATTCTCTGTACTTCTTAGACTTAGGACTCAAGTAGGGAGGGACACACAGTGCATGTAAGGTCACGGCCAGGCATTCTGTGTTCACAGTGGCTCCAAATCACTCCCAAGCTGGATAATTGACAAAGCTGGGTGCAGGGCCCATGATTTTCATTTGGTAGCTAACAACACTCTAAGACCCTCTGCAAGAGAAGCTCATGCTCATCGTGTGCAGTATGCCAGATGTGCTGGACAGCAGCCTTACAAAGCTCAGTATCAAGTGTTTTCTGACCCTAATGGGTCCACTGTGCAGGAAGGCAACCAAAGTATTAGTGTAGTGGGTGGGTATTTTACTGGCTTTCTTCTGTATTTCACACATGTATAGTATACACACATGAGAAAGTTAGAAGGCCTTCGTGGCCTTGTTCTGTGATAGAGGACTCCCTCCTAGGCTTTACCTGCAGTTTTCTGCAGTCACAGGGCCACATCTGGACCAGAGTTTGTGCCTGAGAAAGGAGCTGCAGACTGGACCCTACCAAAAACACAAACAGCATTTGCAGGGTTGGCCTTGTTTTGGTCATAACTGGCTGTGGACTGCACTAGTCCCGAAGCCTTGAGGCTACGTCCTTTCTGGATCACAGTGAGTCTTCAGGGCAATCAGGAAAGGAACTGGTCTCAAGAACATAGGCTGAATTGCTGGTTCATCTGCAACGATTAAAAGGCTCCAAAGAGAGAAGCTGTCACCTGCCCACCACTATCTTGTGGTGACTTGATTACAAATGAGAGGAAACAAGTTAAAGATGATGGAGGTGAGAATAGAGCTGTCTAGGTCTTTTTAGAGGTCAGACCCTTTCTCTTGACAAATAGATGTCAAGCTTCATAATGTACTAAAAACTAAGTGGTGTTTCTGGTCCCTTCCTCAGTGCAAGGTGAAAACCATCTCATCCTGCCCTACTGAGTCTTACTGGGTTTCTGTCCCCTTAGTGCATGCCATCTCTTCATGATGCAACAGATTGCCACCAAGTTGATGAGAGTAGAGTCAATTTAGTAAAGCTTAGAAATGTGTCACAAACTCAGCTACGACAAAGCCCAACTGTTAAACACACACACACACACACACACACACACACACACACACACACACACCCCATTCAAGAGTTATCAGGCTCTTCCTAGGAGGGCACCAGCCAGATCAGTTGTGATAACAGCTGGTGTGTGTTCCAGCCCCCATCAGAGAGGACCCAGTCCTTCCAAGTTACGAGCTAATCTCTGGACTCAGCATCTAGTTTGGATGGCTGTATGCTGGCTGCCATGAATTCTCAGCAAGTCCCTCTTCTCTGCTGGTCAGGGTGGACTGACAGTCTTCTAATGAAGAAGTAAGTGCTGTTCCTCACAGCACGAGAGGTGCCCATAGCCTCTCTAAGGGGCCTTTCTCCAAGTCAGATCTGCCAATGTTGAGCTGTCAACAGTAGTGACTTCTGGAATAACTACAGTGTTCCAATCAGGAGCCATCATTTGGGGATGTAAATGTGCCTCGTGTCTGGAGAAGCTGTTTGTAAGTGTGTACTTACCCAGGCTTAAGTCTGTCCACCTTCTAGTTGACCTGACATCACCCTGTGTGTGATGGCTACACAGGATTTCTGTGACTGTTACCCACTGAATGAAAATGAGGACATGACTGTGTCTAGGTATGATTGAGGAGAAGGTGTATTGTAGATGTGAGGCAGAACAGCCAGAGGCATCAGAAGGGTCCAGACTGAACATGGCCGGCAAAATAGACCAGGCAATATGAGGAGGAAGGGCAGAGGGCAAGCAAGGAAGAGGAGGGGAAGTAAATGAGGGAACCCGGAGGCAAGAGTCGGGGACCAAGTGTGGAGAACCAGGAGAACCAGGACCAAGAGGACCAGGAGAACCAGGAGAACCAGGACCAAGAGAACCAGGAGAACATGGACCAAGAGAACCAGGAGAACCAGGACCAAGAGAACCAGGACCAAGAGGACCAGGAGAACCAGGACCAAGAGAACCAGGACCAAGAGGACCAGGAGAACCAGGACCAAGAGAACCAGGAGAACAAGGACCAAGAGAACCAGGAGAACAAGGACCAAGAGGACCAGGAGAACAAGGACCAAGAGGACCAGGTAGACAAGGACCAAGAGAACCAGGTAGACAAGGACCAAGAGAACCAGGTAGTCAAGGACCAAGAGAACCAGGTAGTCAAGGACCAAGAGAACCAGAACCAAGAGGACCAGGAGAACCAGGACCAAGAGGACCAGGAGAACAAGGACCAAGGGGACCAGGAGAACCAGGACCAAGAGAGCCAAGAAGGAGGCCAAGAGGCCAAGTGGACCCAGAGAGTACATGTCAGAAATGGCTGGGTTTTATGTAAAAGAGAAGCTGGGGGAAGAGAAAGGAATAAAGGAGCTGGGGAGGTTTAGAGTAGGGGTAAGAAGTGCTGAGCGGAGCCAGGATAGATACTTGTGCTGAGAGAGCCTGACAGGGTCCACTTAGATATGGCAATGGGCTCCTCAGTCTTTTGTCTTAAGTTTCTTTGGGACCTAATACCCACTCTGTGATTCCTGTAGTGGTCCCCAAGCACATTCATCCTCTTAGAGACAACAGTACTTCAGAGAGTTGTGCTAGTTTTACTGGTAGTTGAAGGTAAAAGAAAGGACCTGTGTGTCCTATAGCACCTTTACAGGACAGTGGTCTGAACCCATTTGGGCTAAAGATTGCTCATGATTTAAAACCATGTGTGTGTGTGTATGTGTGTGTGTGTGTTCTCATTTGTATGGATACACGTGCTGTTGAGGCCAGAGCTCAACCTTGGTATAGTTCCGCAGACGCTGTACATTTCACTTTCTTTTTCAAATTTCTGTTTATTTACATGTGTGTGACTGTTTGTATGTGTGCCACATGTGTGCAGTTCCTGTGGCGGCCACACGAGGGCAAAAGATCTCCTGGAACTGAATGGAGTCACTAGGCGGTTGTGCACTTTGTTTGTTTTGCACACCACGATCTCTTGCTAGAGCTTGCCAAGTAGGCTAAGCTGGCTGAAATGAAAGCCTCAGGGTCCTTGGTCTTCACTTTGCCAATGCTGGATTGCAAGCACATGACAACACACACTTTTTGTCCTTTTTTTTTTTTTTTTAAGATAGGGTCTTACTATGTAGCCTTGACTGGCCTGGTACTACCTATGTAGACCAAGCCGACCTCAGAAATCCACCTGCCTCTTCCTACTAAGTACTATGATTAAAGAAATGTCCTCAGGTCATCATGCTTGCATGGCAAAAACTTTTCCAGCATCTCCCCAACGTTTGAAAACATTCTTAAAAAGAGACTTTCCTCTTTTCAAAAGTAGGGAATATGAGTGTCCAAACAGCGGCTGTACCTCACTGCAAAGACCTGTATTTGGAGGCTAGAGTTGTAGTTCGTTGATGTATGACAGCCTTCTTATGCAGTTTCTTTTTGTTTTGTTTGTTTGCTTGTTATTTTGTTTGAGACAGTTTTTCTGGGTAGCCCCAGCTGTTCAGGAACTTGCTCTGCAGACCAGGCTGGCCATGAACTCACAGTGATCCACCTGCTGCCTCTTGAATTCTGGGATTAAAGGGACCTGTGCCAAGCATATTTGAGGGGTTTTAGCAGTGAGATGAATTCTACACTATAGAAGTAGTGGGAAGTAGTGTTTTAGGGTTCAGTATGCAGCTCGAAAGTCTGCACTGATCAAATGTGTCAGAACAGAGCTTTAAGAGAAGTGGCTTCATGGTAAGATGATGAAATGCTAGATTGAATGCAGAAAGTATGGCCAAGTGAGAATTACTGCTCTTAGAAACCATCGCCAACAATTATCCATAGCCTTTTTATAAGATTGAGACCACATTGGCTCTTAACTGTTCCCATTTGTGGTTTTTATTTAGTTCTAAAATGCTCAACATGGACACTTCCATCACATCTGTTTTTAATTCCCAGAAGGGGTACGATCAAATGCATTTTGAGATTCTTATTGAGCAAACTCCTTCATAAGCCAAAACTGCAGAAATCAAAGTACTGTAAATGAGTAAATAACTCGGAGAACTGAGTGTGCAGAAGTGGCCATAAGGATCAAACCTAAAACTGAGAAGAGGACCAGTGCCAGTGCGTGCACAGGGGGGTGCTGGGAAGCCGTGGGGCGTCTTGCTGTGCACAGACTTTTCTAACTGTGGGCGCCATCTGATCCAGTGAGGCCTAGAGAAGGGACAGAACTTGGTCAGAAATCGTGCACATTAGTTAGGGGCGAGGCAAAGCTGAGCCCAGGCTGCCTGACTGGCTGGAAGCCATCGTGGACATCCTCCAGTCAGGGTGGACTCTTGGAAAGGGCCATTTAAGTTTCCTCAGAGTCTGTAGTCAGTACAGTTAAACCACAGACTATAGTTCACTCAAAGTTGGATTTCTCTGGCCCTGTTTCTCTCCTACTCACATTCTGCAACATAGTAGCTTTAGCCTATCTAAAATATTTTATTTGCTTATTAATTTAGCAGATGTTTATTGATCGCTGATTATATGGCAGGCATGGGTACCACAACAGATATACTAAACTGCCCTGGCCAGCAGGGCACAGTGAGGGTCCAGCCCACAGGAACCTGGAATGACGGGACAAGAGACAAGAGAAGGTGGCAGCAAGACAGCATGGCTGATCAAACTGCATTTAATGAAAATTTCGTACGAGGTTAAATAGGGAATTGAGGTAGGGAGGTGTGGCAGAGGAATGCAAGACAATGAGGGAGGAGCCGTTGCCTAGTAACCAGGCCATTGAAGATAAGTAGGTGTAGGCAAGGTTAAAGGGTCACAGAGGGAGGAGTTAAGTGATCTAATTGTGAAATGTTTCCTTTTTGACATCTGCTATTACTGTGAGCCCAAGTTCTATTCA